CCTATAAACGTATTGTTCAAGACAAAGTGGACAATCCGGATTCTACGAAACATGGAAACAGAAACCAATTACAAAAGCTTTGAATGGAACAACAGATTTCAAATGCTTACTGTGACCCTCACCTGGTGCAGAATGAGACAGTCAAGTCACACTTTTGCTCTCCGCTCCAGTTACAGGCATCAGACACCTTTAGCAAGTACTTGTACTTCGCAAAAATCTCCTCAGGTGCACAGACACCGAAGAACACCTTTCCAGCATGTTCAATTTTCTGTTGAACAATCACGAGAGCCTTGAGTAAGAGTTTAATTTAACTGACACAATACTAGTGCGTGTGACAGTGACATAACATACAGTCACTTTAATGTTCTTCTGTTTCAGTTCACAGATAAAGGCATCCTGCTTCTTGAAGATTTGGTCCTCCATATCCTCCATTTTTTGAGCCACCAGGACATAGTCACATAACCGAGGAAAATATAAGTTACACTGAATGAAACAAATGCAGAAACAACTAGGTTAAGACTGAAAGAATCTGGTCGTAGGCATACTGTACTATTTTTCTGTGAATATCAATTTTTGATCAGACGTTTGACACTATTATTGCTGTCTGGTTTTGTGTCATTATTTGTGTCTGTGACTGTCACTTGGTTTTCTCAGGAAGTTTAGATCATGCAGGGCAAGTGTTGATGTGAATGTGGCATTATAACCACAGTGTGGTAAGATATAACATCATCATGTGCTTTGCATGTGTATTTATCATAAGTGAGCATGTGCTTCTGTAGAAATACAACTGTGGTATCGAAGCCAGTTGGCCAACAAATGCACACGTCACATGGTTTCTTTTCCTACCTGTGAGGGAAGTAAAGGGTCATTTCCATTGTCCAGCTCATACAGAGCCACATCATCCTGCAATACACCGGAATGACAAAGAATAAGAAAAGAACATTTTATATGCATAAATTGTATAAAACAATGTTATATTTTAGTGTACATTTGAACTCCCTCAGTCAGAATCAGAAATCTACATCTACTCCCACTGTCCCTCATGTATTGTGGACAGCAGAAGCCTTCTCGATGTACTCTATGTACTTGCAATAAATCGACTCAATCTCTTTAAACGACACACTGTAAAGAAAAATGTGCATTATGCAAACTGGCAGTTGTTTGTGATGCCAAACCATATTTCAATTGAAACGCAAATTTCTAACTCATCCTCGTGCAAGTTATTACAGTGACAGCCGGACATTAATACCCAATGACTAACCTGCTTTATACTGTAAAAAGCAAATCGACCATATCATTGTACAGTGGGATCCAAAATACTTTTTTCATGTTTTTTTTTTTTTTAACAATTAAAGGTATAGTTCACCCAAAAATAAAAATTATGTAATTAATTACTCACCCACATGTTGTTCCAAACCTGTAAGACATTTGTTCATCTTCGGAACACAAATTAAGATATTTCTGATGAAATCCGAGAGCTTTCTGACCCTGCATAGACAGCTAGGGAACTACCACATTCAAGTCCAGGAAACGCAGTAAGGACATCCTTAAAATAGTTCATGTGACATCAGTGTTTCAACCGTAATTTTATGAAGCTACAAGAATACTTTGTGCGCAAAGAAAACAAAAATAATGACTTTATTAAACAATTTATTCTCTTCCACCGTTCATGAGAGTACCGCAACACATGCGTGTGATGCTGCTGAGCAGGAGCCGGAGTTCTGACGTAGAACCCGGATGCGCTGCACCTTGTTTACAAGCAGAAGATTGCACACGCATGCGTCGTGGTACTCTCGTGAATGGCGGCAGAGACTGACCGGCATGAACGACTAGGGGCGAGTAATTAATGACAGCATTTTTGCCTGAACTGTCTCTTTAAGATTTTCACTCACATTGTTACGCTGACAGTATAATTTATCATTACACTTTTTTTATTATAATTAATAATTATAATTTAAATTTTATTAGCTGTGTCAAATATTTGGACCCAAGTGTATCTGGACTTCAGTGGAGCTCACCTAGGCCTACAGTCTTTCAGAAAAGTCTTTTCATGTGTATTTATAGAAATCGAAGCCAATGGGATGGGAATTATATTACGGGATTATCTTTACTATTGCATATCTTTTATAACACTGTTGCTACTAAAAGATGTTAAACAAATCAGTCTAAAGTAAAAAAAAAAAAAAAAAACTGAACTTTTTTGTAAAATAATATTTTTCAAGATTTCTTTCTTCCTGTTCTACATTTTACTTTCTCTTTGACTGCATTTATTACTGCTGGTGTGACAACAGGTCAAGACATGCCTTTGGGTAACCATTTATAGAACTACAAGTGTCCGAGTGTGTTTGTCGGAAAGACAGAAAGACTGAGGAACCACTAAGAACAAGGATTTTGATTCCTCACCTCTGCCTTACATAACTATTAACCGAAGTCACAATAATTAAAGTATGTTCTTGCTCTATGACGTTTAAAGAAGCAGCACAGCCTCATGACAAATAACCTGTTTAACCACAACAGCACCATTATTCATTCCGTATTGCACACATTTTACGCAATACAAACGCATGATCATTTTACTCCCCCGCAACATCTATTAATAATGAGTCTAAAACATCTCATCCGTAATAAAGACTTTTTTATGCATCACACAAGATTAAAGCAATTATAAGCAAATTAATGAGTTGTCTAAGTAAAACATGAGTGTATATAAACATATTTAGTCACAGCAACGTCTCTTTTCTGAAGCATACACCTGAAAGTTCTCAGCAACAAGATGTTCAGGTCAGATGAGTGTTCCTCAGAGGTCCTTTTCTGTGGACATTAATCCCTCCTAAATAACGTTGTTAAACCTGTTTGAAATAACTACACTACACACATTTTAATAATCCAAATGAGTCATTCACTAGGCAAAAATAAAACAGTCATATCAAGAGTTTTCTTGCTTGACATGAGGACCGTAAACAAAAACATGTACCTCCCTATGGGATATACTGTTACTGTAACTTGCCTCTCTGTATGTTGTGGAACATGTTACAGTAATATTAGTAGTGGTGAAAGCCAATGTTTACGACAGGGTGAGTGCAACAGAAACTGCTACTGCTGTCTACTGTACTGAAAATGACATTTATATTTAATTTACTGTACACTTAAAATGATTAATAGCGCATTTCTCATTCTAAAGAGCTCCAACTAAATACTCAGAAAACAGCACTAGTCCTTTTTCTTCACATGAGCGATCAAATGTCTCACGTTGACCAATTAAATGAATAAATACTTCAAGATCAATTACAGACAGGCCTTTACCTATGCACCTGCAACACACACACACACACACACACACACACACACTGTACCTCTCGATCAGTGAAGAACATCCTCAGATCGAAGTTTTCAAAGCAGTTCTGTTAAGTTCAGGCAGACTGACGTCTCTTCTTTTATCCTCACATAGCCGAAGACCAGCACTAACTAATGCGAGAAATTAAAACTAACTAGAGACCGATCGAAAGCAGTGTGAACTTCCGCATTTCCCGACTCATGTTTAAGAAATCCGCAAGCACGACGGTGTGCTCATACCATTTACCTTTACAGGTGAGCCCACAGACGTCATCGCTTTCTGTGGAAGGGCGGGGCTGAGCTTCTTTACTGTCGATACACATCAAACTTCTTTATAAAGGACACACTCGGTCCAAACGAAGACACAACAATAACAACATACAAACACACACACACACACACGGACAAAACCCACAATATCACATGTGTACTAAAACGCCAAGAGGCAGACTGACGTCTCTTCTTTTATCCTCACATAGCCGAAGACCAGCACTAACTAATGCGAGAAATTAAAACTAACTAGAGACCGATCGAAAGCAGTGTGAACTTCCGCATTTCCCGACTCATGTTTAAGAAATCCGCAAGCACGACGGTGTGCTCATACCATTTACCTTTACAGGTGAGCCCACAGACGTCATCGCTTTCTGTGGAAGGGCGGGGCTGAGCTTCTTTACTGTCGATACACATCAAACTTCTTTATAAAGGACACACTCGGTCCAAACGAAGACACAACAATAACAACAACATAAAACACACACACACAAGGACAAAACCCACAATATCACATGTGTACTAAAACGCCAAGGATTCCACATATTTGAAAAAAGCCTGACTGAACTTAGTGCCAAGTTCGTCAGTTAAAATTATACTCGACGCATGTACATCAGTACTGATAACGTGAGATCGAAACTTAACTCCTTCTCCTTAAAGCAGTTCACAGACCTTACTGCCAAAAGTCATTGAGCTCTGAATGTGTTATTGTTGTTATAATTTGCCGCAGAGCTGGTCAGATTTTCACTCTGTATTTTCACAATTATAAGGCGCACAGAAAATACTTGCTTTAACCCCCTGGAATCTGGTAAAGAAATATTTAGGAATACTTATTTCACGTTATCATCATGTTTGGTGCGTGAGAACCAAGAAGTAATGTGATAGCCTATATATATATATATATTCATGGCCAAAAGTTTTGGCAGAGACACATTTTTGTTTTGCAAAGTTTGCTGCTTCAGTATTTGTAGATTATTTTTCCACAAGTTTTAAAGGCTTTTATTGGCCAAAAAAAATAAAATAATAATAAATATATAAAAATACAAAATTAGTCAATATTTACAGTGTTGACCCTTGTTCTTCATAACCTCTGCAATTCGCTCTGGCATGCTGGATATTAGCTTCTGGGCCAAATCCTAACTGACGGCGATCCATTCTTGCCTTATTAGTTCTCGGAGTTGATGACAATTTGTGGGCTTCTGCTTGTCCAATCGCCTTCTGAAGACTAGCCACAGGTTCTCTATGGGATTGAGATCCGGGGAGTTGCCTGGCCATGGATCCAAAATTTCAATGTAATGATCTTCGAGCCACTTCTTTATCACTCTTGCTTTGTGACATGGTGCTCCATCATGCTGGAAAATGCACGGATCACCAAATTGCTCATGGATCGTTGGAAGAAGTCACTCTTGCAGGACATTTTGATATCATTCTTTATTCATAGCAGTGTTTCTGGGCAGAATTATGAGACCCCACTCCCTTGGTTAAAAAGCAAACCCACACATGGATGGTCTCCGGATGCTTCACTGTTGGCACAACACAGGACTCAGGGTAGGTTCACCTTTTCTTCTCCGAACAATCGATTTTCCAGATGTGCCAAACAGTCAGAAGGGAGCTTCAGAGAAAATAACTTTGCACCAGTCTTCTGCTGTCCAATCCTTGTACTTCCTGTATAATTCAGTCTGTCCTTGACGTTTTTCTTGGAGAGAAGTGGCTTCTTTGCTGCCCTTCTTGACACCAGGCCGTTGTTCAAAAGTCTTGGCCTCACTGTGCGTGCAGATGCTCTCACACCAACCTGCTGCCATTCCTGAGCAAGCTCTGCACTGCTGGTGACAATTCCATAGCTGACTCCTCAGGAGGAGACGGTCCTGGCACTTGCTGGACACTCTGGGACGTCCTGAAGACTTCTTCACTGCAGTCAAACCACTCTCCTTGAAGTTCTTGATGATCCGGTAAATGGTTCTTTCAGGTGCAATATTCTTTGTAGCAATTTCCTTGCATGTGAGGACATTTTGAGGCACCGCGATGATGGCTGTACATGTTTCTATGGAGGTAACCATTGCTAACAAGAACACAATGATTGGCAGCGCTTCTTCCCTCCTTTTATAGCAATCAGTCTGCTCTTACAATCTAATTAGTATGATAGTGATTTCACTTGACCTTTCACTTTCACGTGTGCTGCTGATATGATTAGACAATTAATGTTAGCTGATAATTTTGTGTCAGGATCAAAAACTTTTTTTTTGTGAAAAGTTTGTTTTGTGGCCAATGAAGCTTTTAGCAATTATTTAAAATGCATCTGATCACTCTACACAATAATCTAGAAACAATGTGAATGAACACCACAACAGCTTAAGCAGCAAACTTTGCAAAACACAAAATTTATGTCTCTGCCAAAACTTTTGGCCATGACTATATATTGTCTCTTTAATCCAT